TACAGCAGGCAGCAGCAGGCAGCAGGCAGCAGCAGGCAGCAGGCAGCAGGCAGCAGCACCCGTGCTACAGCAGTACCACACATCGTACTTGCCCAACCGGACGCGCAGCTTACCTCTGGGTTATTAGCAGCCGGGTTGGTGGTGGCAGAAGAACGTGTCCTCAATCCCTCATGCGAACCCTGGATGGCGGCGATGACGGGGCAGGACATAACCCTGTCTGCCCCGCAACCCCCGCTTCCGCCGCCTTGTGGTATGCCGTTCTTCCGAGCTGCGTTTCGCTTGCCCGCCATGATGGCGTCAGCCTTTTCGCGGGCCAAGTTGGACAAAACCACTTCGCTAGCCTCGCAGTAGCCTGTGTTCTCCGCGGCTTTTCTGCCCTTCCTCTTGCTGTCCAACAAGGTGGTGCGAAGCTTGATTCCTCGTTCGTGTGGGGACCACTTGTGGATAACCTCGTATCTTGTTTGGCCAGCATACATGATGCGTGTACATTCGCCAGCGGCAGTCACCGCTGGGCCCTGGCCGCGCAGCATTTTCAAGCCCGCTTCCCACCACCACTTTTTGTCTGACCAACTTTCTGAGTGGCTCTACCCCCCCTAATTCGACCAAGCGGAATCGATTGGCGACGATTCCCGTGGCGAAAAAGTTCGGCAATGCGGCGAAAAAAAAAGTTCGGGCTGAAGGGGAACTTTTTTTTTTTGGGAACTTTTTTTAAACGTCGTTTTTGGGCGTTTGAGAACGATCTGCGAAGTCAATTTTTTTTTTTTCTTCTCCGAGGTGGGAAAGGTGATTCGTCTTTAGCTCGGAACCCGCCCTTAGTCTACTTCAGGCGCCGAGAACGCAAGCGGAAAGATGGGCGCCATATCAACCGACAAAGGAGGCCCTGCTTTGCGATGGTGTGAACATGCTCTGCTGTATGCATAGCCTAATCTATTTGTAGTCTACAGACTATACTTCTGTTGGGGTTTGTATCTGCAGGGGTATCGAGTAAGATCCATCACTAGACTAGACCAACAGCACAAATACGTTTCAAAGAATGCGAATGTAGGAAGCACCCTGCGCCGGCGCCCCGCCTTGCATCAAAATACTGCGAACTTTCGGGAGAGGCGTCCCGTATCGTCGTCTACTGACCTTTTCCTCAGTACGCCGGAAACCTCGCCGCAGTGTTGCGTGCTGTGCGTGCGACACTCATGGCCAAAAGGTTGCGGTGGGGTCTTGCGGAGAATATCCAGAGTTGTGATCTTCGTTACGCCATGACGAGCCGTGACGTCATGACCCACCGAGGAGACACGAACCAAACCAAATAACCAAATCAGCGGGCCGAGCGGTGCATTTCACGTCATCATGTCATCACGACATAATGACATCATGACATCATGACCCTATGACGTCGACGTGATCATAATTCTCCGCAAAAACCCCGCAACTTTGGCTACCCCTCTAGGAGGCGGGTGAGTGAAGCTCGCTCAGCACGCATCACATGACGTGCTCTCGTGCGTACCGAGGGGTTGGGATATGATCACTCGGATACAGGACAGCTTTGTTCCGAACGTTCGCAGTACACCTAGCGGAGGTCCTACGTCCTGCTGCTGTACGAACTTGTGGCACGAATAATGGAGCATGTATTTTTTCTGATCGTCGCCGCTGAACCACCACCTCTCTTGGACACGGTTGAAGTACGACGTCCCGCCTTTGGCCGTCTCTCACTGCACCGTCACTGAAGGGCTTCGTCAGATTAACTTCAGCCCCACCTCAGGTTTGTCCATGCGCCTACTTCTTGATAAACAGAAACTCTCTTCTACATATACATAGTCTTGCAAGTTTCAGTTGAACTTTTCTCAGGCGGCTATTGTCTAGACTATACTGCTGTAGACTCATGTAAGGTTATGTATCATGCTGCAGTGCAGGACCTTCTTCATCGGTTGGGGGAGGCGCCAATCTCTCCTCTTGCTTCCTTACCTCCTTGTAGTACATTGCTGCACTAGACTATAGGGATCCGTGCATCATCGACCGGGCATACCCTGCAGCGTCGTCCGAAGATGCGGTAAAGTGCGTACGAATGGGTACCATGATCCACTGGCACAGACACCCATTTGTTTTTCTGTGTTTGTATTCAGACGATGTTTCCTTATGTCTTGTCTTGTGATATTGTACTTACCCATTCAGTGACTTTGTGACTAGCACCTGCTGGTATCACTGATACACAATTTTTAGTGCAGTCTAGGCTTAAATAGACTCGAAATTAGCCCAATACCCAGCCGGTTTCCCTCCATTCACTACTGCAGAGATCCCGACATATGTATGCCGTTCGACTTCTACAGTTGTGGTTGTATCTCGAATGGGTCGTCTTTCTGTGTTTTGTGTTTTTTTTTTTCCAACTTGCTGTGCGTCCGTTGCAACGTCGTGTGAGTAAATACTCCCCAACTTACTTTGCACAAGAGAAAAACGCAACACTTGAAGAAATCGTACAAGCAGGATTACGGGGCACGAGGTAGAGACTTCGACCATGGATTCCAGTTACCGGAAAGAGGGGAGCGTGGTCGCGAACAACCTTGGGATGCGCAGGAGCTGCTGTGAATGCGGGCGAAAGAAGAGGAAGTGCGACGGGATGGCGCCTTGCAGGTGTGATATGCAGTACTGACATGAACCATTTGCTGGTGGGAGTCTGCTGCCGAGGCGGCGACGTATCTAGACAGGTATCCTCGTTTTTTGAGCGTTTTCGCTGAGGGGGCTGCTTCGCTATGCTATGTGTGTCGGATCGGAGAGAGGTGGCGGGCTCCCCGCGACTCCCAGCGTTGTGTGTGAAAGCTTCCCGACGAAAAATGCCCCCACAAACATTATGGAGCACCCTCTTCGTCCCCTTCAGGAAGTCGCCAGTCTGGCCGCGAGCTATCATTCAGAGAAACACGGCTCGTAAGTGCTTGCACTAACTTGCGCACACACCAATCGTGCACCCCCTTTCCGAAAGAAAATTCCGTTGTAGGTTGCGGGTCATCGTTCCCAAACTATCCTTACACAGACAAAGAGATACCCACAATCAACTTCGTTACAAGACCTGTCGACAATGTGGAGGGGTCTGTTTAGTGTATCGCGGTATCCGTCAAACGTACCGTCGAGGAAGCGGTGCCTATCTTTCTCTATAGGCGTACTCTTGGATTTTGAATCAATGTTGATCGTGCCTAGCTGTTTGCTCCCACCTACGAACAAGCTCATCGTCAGGTAGCGGGTACCGCTTAGTGTTATGTCGCTTTCATCAACAGAACACGAACGCCGGAAGGTCGCAGTGCTGGCTGAAGGGCTCGTACTTTTTCTGTGATTCATGCAAGGTTTTGCGAAGTGTTGAAGTTACCCCACCAGAGGTGGCGGGGGCGGCTTTCGTCTCCGGACAATTCGTTCGCACACACCCTTCGCTGATGGTCGTTTTCGACATATTCGCCTTTTACATTATGTAATTCACAGCCGGTGCCTAAGATCTGGGGTTCAATGCACTTACAGCAAGCGGAAGCCGCACCAGCCTCAGACTCAGCACCAGCACCAGCGCCGTCCACGTGGTCCTGCTTGCATGCCGTCAACGGAGTTGCTGCGCCACTCGTCATCGGGCGCACTCCAGGCCAGCGGCATGCTGCCTTTGAAGAGGTCAGTCGTCTTTACTAGCCGCGGTGCGAACATTGCGAATAAAATTGAAAGGTAACGGGTCATTGTTAGCTAGAGTCACAAGAACCAGTGTATGCGCCATTGCATCCGAGCCTCGTCGTATCAGAGTAAATATATCGTGGTTGCAGGAAAGGCAACGACTGATTCGTGCTGAAACTGCTGCCCAACGGCATTAATTGGCGTTCAGTAGCGGCTACGGTTTTAAGATAAAATCTTAAATAGCAATACCGATTTAGGAGAGTAAATTGACTAGGCACGACAAAAAAATGCTGTGTTTGGGAGGTTATTTCTTAGTTCAAACCTCCGAAAAAGAGCCGCGTGGCCGTCACACACACATCTTGCAGATACCATGACCTGCCCAGCTCGCAGCCGCTACATGGCGGTCCCCGATTACACGCCAGGCCCACCATAATTCACAATCAACCGTCCATGAATCAAGTATAGTGAGCGAACGTGTTCATCCACGTGCCAACTACGGTATCACACACCATGATCAATTTCCAAAACACAGGTATCTGGAGTGTACACGGTACTTGCGGTGGGTGCATGGCTCGCCTAGAAATAATTTGATCAGTGTGTGGAGCTAGCACAAAGGTGCCAAGGCATACTGACGACGCGATGTAAGATGAGTGATGTGTCTCCACAAACTCGTTTACCTGGTTGGCACGAAAGCATCCATCTTCCATGGCCTTCAAGACAATGTTCTCTGCAACCGTAGCCAACAAGAGAATAGTCTGTTAAACTATCGAAAATGGTATGACAGAAAAACCGCTTTAAGAGAGAGGTACTGCATTGGCACGACCCTCTCTTACAACGAAGCCGCTACTGTATGCCCACTGGGTCAGCATCACCGTCGTGCAGTACCCCAAAATACATCTTGGACATTGGAAACATCGCAGCTTCATGTATGTATGGGCTGGAGGAGTGCTCTCGACGTTGAAGAGCTCTCGAAGGGTTGCGTTTCATATCGGGCGAGAGCTTTCGCTCGAGCTCACCGCGTCCACACCCACGTCTACTGTACCAGGTTCAGGTTGAGTGCATCTCCGGCGACTGGTCTCGTGGGCATGCAGGAGAACGCGTTTCTGAGTGACTTTTTCGGCTGCGTTGGCTTCTTGCCACTCACCACCCCAAGGTGCGGATAACACGTTTTTGGTACACACTACAGGGGGAGTAGCTGCTCCTAATCGCTGCCAATAGCATCACATCGGGTCCCACGTGTATGTTGCCAATGTACTGACGATGGGGGTCACCGGTTTTTGTCCCAGCGATGGAAGCTCGTACCCTCCCGTGCAGTCAAACGCCCGATCTAGGATTCCTGTGCGCTTGAATGTTGCCGCCAGTCACATCCGCGGAGAAATGGTGAGGATGATGACCCTCTCCACTGCCCCGCACCAGCTGGGCGCTTCGTACGACTCGCCCGAGCAATGCCAGTTTGACGCCATCCTCACCGAGGACGGTATCACCACGGGAAGTCAGCTTTCGACAGGCCCCTCGGCTTGCACATTTTGGTGTGCAGTTGGTGTTGGAGCACTTGTGAACGGCAGCCCTGTTGAATTGGTGAGAGCAACATGTTGGGCTTTGCTGCCTATCCTGTGGGAGGAGAAGAAAAATTTTCCACGTCGGGTAGGCGCCTATCCTCTGCTTAGTGCCACTGTTGATCGTTGTGTGTATCTACCGGCCGATGCAATAACGAGCTTACGACAGAAGTCGACAGTCAAACCGTCGCCCGCGAAATGCAACACCTCCCCCGTGTGTCACGAAAGGTGGGGAACTACTCCGGACTTGCGAGAGATGCACTCAATGCCTACACTGGTCCTGTGAATGCCGAGGTGGCAAAGTGAGTAACACGAACAATTGCAACGCAAGGGCATGCCGTACCGTCACCCGTACATAATTGTACCATATTCATCGCGTGGCACGTATCGGTTCCAGATCATGGCTCGTGCTACCCAAACGGTTTGGCCACGCTCATCACTGTACGACCATGACTGCTTTAAGCATATGTTGCTGTCCAGTGAATCGAAGGCTTACAGAGCAACGTGTGCCACCCACGATGCCAGCCTTCCCGTCGTGGCGTCGCAAGGTTCAATTTCACCATATATCAATGAGGCTGACAGTACCAACCGGTAAGGTTTTGGCAAGGCTAATATCGTGCATTTCCATCGCCAACCTTTCGGACATTGATGCCCGCGTTACCTTGACGAGATCCAGTGTTGACCTCAGTCTGAGGGGGTATGATATCGTGTACGGTACACGGTAGTCCGTCCCGTTCGACCCCTTACACCTACAGCCCGTCTACTCCCCCGTCCTTGCCTCAACATCAATTCAGGGCGTGGGCGATCCTGGGATACTTTTATGGCTTCATGGGAGACACGGTGAGCTAGTTTCCGGCCGGAGGTGCGGTACCCTTGATCGTAGCAGCCCTCTTGCGCGTTGATAGGCCCTATCTGTTGCCCATACCAATAATTGTCGTCGTCAGCGACACCTAATACATGGCAGTGGTCTACTCCATCTGAACGTACTCACTCGACCCTCCCACATCCTCTCGGCGCGATGCACGCGTGTTTTTCTGCGCTTCAGACGACGTTTCAAGAGTACTTGGGGCTTTCGGACTCCTTTTTGACTGATTCCATTGAGCGAGGGTCAACTGATATCCTTCCTGCCGTGAGTATGACGTCGTTGCCTTTTGTTAGGCTTCAGCATTCTCTAGTGCTTAATGCTCCTTCCCCTGCCTGGCGGAACCGGTTCTATGAGCACGACCGCTCGTGTACCTACACAAATGGTTGAATCCTGATTCCGGCATTTTTCTGTCTGCGAGTACCACCAATTTAGCAGCAGCACCAAGGTGCTCTTGGGTAGCCAATCAAAAGGCCACGTACGGAACCAGTGAGTATCGCGAGACTGGCTGGTCATTTGGGTTTGCCGTCGTGTTGCGTAGGCAGTGCGCGAGCGCAAGCCGTGGCAGTTCTTATGCCAGCAACATGTTTCGGCCCTGATGGTCGCAAATATATGGGTGTCAGCGGCAGCGGCTCGCAACAATTTTCACGTTTCAGGGTAGAGTACTTGACGATCTAACAGGATTGCCAGCTTGCATTCGGCCGGTAGGAGCGTGGAGGCATGACCGATGCAGCGTTTGCTGCTCGAGAACCACGAGGTTTGATGCCATGTGTGTTCGGCACGAAGAGTAGTTCGTCCCCGTCGTCGTGAAATAGTTCTGGGGTTTGCGGGGGTGTGCTCTGTGGCCGCTCTACGAAAGGTGGCCAATGGCTGAGGTCGATGCAAGGTTTGTGTTTGAGGCGCGCGCATGGTGGCTGTAGATGTTGTTTGGGGCAGCAACTGTGCTGTGCGCACAGTATGATCGACATCCCGAAAGATTGCAACATTGTTTCCGTCCTGTGCCCGATGAGCGCCTTCCCCTACGCGTCAAGCGACCTCTAACACTAGCACAAGCACTGGTTGGAGCTGTTACCTTTCGTGACCGTGATTGTCCAATGGCCTGTATTTGTTGAAGTTATGCTTACCTGGTGAAGCCTCGTACACTCTCGCGCATCTCGGCCAGGGATTCGCCGAGATCATCCGTCACAAGCAGACCGTCAAGGTGTACGCGGGAAATCTCGACGCTGCGTACATCGACTTTTTGGGCGCCCGACGTCGAGATCCTCCGCAGGTGTGTCCTGTGTATTCGCATCTGAAAATGATTGGCCCAGACGGCACTCTGGGCTCGTAGTCTGGGACAGTACCCCCCACCTCTTGGGCATGGAAGGGCATGAGCTCCTTGACGTTCCCGAACCGGAATCGCGCGGTACAGCCATCGAAAAGCTACCTTGAAAGAGCCGAAGCAAGCTCGCAAAAGTAATCCCGAAGAAGACGTAAAGAAGAGGGACTCCAGGCTCTGTGCAACGTGCACACGGTACGTTTGGTTGCATCAGCGACGTGGGAAGCTCATTATTGTCACAATGTCCATTACCCGCGATGGCAAACACGTGTAGGAGGTTACGGTAGGCAGTCGACGATCGACATCAACTCGTACTTTCAGGTCGACATGGACGCGCGACCGCACAAGACAGGACATTGAGCTACACGATACGATATCGGCGTGTCATATCGCTCCGGATGCGCATGTTTGATTTCGTTCGGTATCCAAGCTTGAGCGATGGGCGCTTCTCGCCGTAGGGTTGAGCTTTTGCGGTCGTTGTTGTCAGTTTCTCCAGCAAGCCAAAGTTGTCTTGACGCCGAGACATCCACCACAGAGCGGCAACAATGGTGAAACGTTCAAATCAGTTATTGTTGAGAGTACCCTTAACGCTTCGTGCAACGCTGTGTGCAGGTGAATGCCTGCCTTGTTGGTGATAACATGCGCGGGTTTGGAAGGGAGTCGAAGGTTGTGGTAGGACTGTACGATCGTGCATGTTTACGAGAGCTCCCCCTCCATCCTCTCCACCTGCTGATGATGATCCAGGCCAACCCAGCCGCAACCGAGCTGGATGTATTTCGATATGTTACCCAGTCGCATACCGCGTTCGAGCAACTTGTGTTCGAGAAAGTGTGCGAGAACAGTGCGACCATCAGGCCTTTGAGCGATGACGAGCCTTGCGAGGACGACGGAGGCTGTGGTAGCCCCCACGGCAACCCCCCCCAGGCGGAAGAGGTGTCCGATGCTATGGTGACGGGGCTCAGAGATGGCCTTATCGACTTCGAACACCTGCAAGAAGCAGTCGATCGGTGAGTCAATTTCCACTTTTCTTTCACGGATGGCTTCCGAGTGTCATGCAACGTGTCCCTTCAGCAGGGAGTTTACTGTAAGGGCCTGTGGAATAGTGCCACTGCCGTGAGGGTAGACCGGTGAAATCGTACAACACGTAGGAACCTGCACGAGGTTCCTCTGAACAGTGACGGGTGCCCGGTACAGTGCGTGTAGCCACGGCGGGCATTTTCCGGCACTATAGCGAGCCCCTTACTGTATCCATGATGACGTACAACCATCTTTTCTGTAGCTTCTTTGTTGGGCAATCCCTCTCTCCGCACTATGATTGTGTCGGCATGGACTTTAATCAGGCCTTCACGCATCCGTCTCCCGATGCCTCCGTTTCCCCCTCATGGCCGGCTTCCACCTGGATGATGAACAGATCAAATATTCGCCAGGGCATTGGCGGCCTCCTCATTAACATGTGAGTAAACCTGAAAAAACGGTTCCGCTTGTCGGGAAAACACGCATGAATGCTGTTGTCTTTCCATGCGATTCCTGGGGCTCCGTGGGCTCTTATGAGTATGAGTACTTACCATTTTTCACAGCCACACGGATGACTCTAGGCTGCGGAGAATTGTATGAGCTTCCAATGACGACTCACGTCGTGCTGAACTTGTATTCTCCACCTCTGCAATGACTCGTTCCTTATCTCGCAGGAACCTGGCACTTCAAAAAGCAGGGAAAGGCGACGCGGGTGGAGCCTTGGAGAGGTTACGGCATTGCGTCGAAGTATTTGAGCGGTACCCTGGCGTGTGCCGCTGCATGATGCTATGGTGAGCCAATCGCATGAACACTACCAAAGATTTTGTAAACCTCTGGCTGCGATCTGTGGTCGTGGCAATTTCTAAAGTTTGCTTCGCCGTGAATCTGTATGATAAGAAGAATTCCTGAAACAGTCAGTATTTGTTGTTCAATGTGAAGGTTTGGTGCTGCATGTTCCTACCATGACCATATTCGCTTCCAGATCCCGCCTTCGATAAAATCTGGCGTTCTTGGTACGGGCGTGTCCATGGTGGCGTGTGCTTGGACTATAGGGTTAGGTACATTACAGAGTCATTTTCTTGCCTTTCTGTCGCCCCCGTACCTCCCACCATACTAAGGTGCCACGTTTCACACTCTATCCTGGGAGCTCTCGCAGCGATTAACGATTCCAGAGCTCGAGAACTGTACGACCGGTTGCGGAATGTCTACAATCCGTCGCGTTCCTCTGACTCTCTGCCAGCGCCACCTTTGGAAGAGTGGCGTGGGATGTCTGCATTCTGCGATGACTTCCAGTGCAGGTGCGTGGGGGGGGGCATACTCTTATGTTTTGCATTCCTTGCCGGTTAGACCATTGACCACGAATCCTCGAGAGGACGGAGCATTGTTCCCACAAGACCGATCACCGATGGCCAATCATTCCTTCCTACTTCGCCAAAGGTCGCTCGAAAATGTCTGCCCTAGTCTATCTCTCCTTTCAATACAACTTCCAGCCCTTTCAACCTACTTCCTACGCCTCAGTACAGCTATCGTCCTCTCCTGTCTATGCCATGCCTCAAACATCTCCGTGTACCTTCCTTCTACTTTTCCCAGCTCAGTCCATGTACACCTCACTCTCCTTCTGGTACAACCGACATTGCGCAACTACGTGAAGACGGTTTTAAGCTCGGACCCGCATACACATTTGAACTTGTCGTCTTAATCGTCTAGTACCTACATCTTCGTCTACGTTCTCGAAGGCCAATGTCCCCGGCCATGAATTTGACCTTAGGCGTTGTCCCTGTACCAATCGGTTTATGTAGATACTCCTTGAACCCTATTCCTTTCAACATTCCGTAAACTTCTAGACCCTCGTTATCCTTAGTTTTCTTTGGTTGGATTGCGTTCTTCTCTCTCGGCAATAGCAACATATATCTCCTCCTGGAACCCCGTTAGACCCTCCGTTTCCAGCGTTTCACTTTCGTCGATTCGGACCCCTTCCACACGTCATCTACAGCCTTGACCCACTCCGTGGGTTGTCTACCCCTCTTCTTGTTTGCCCACTTCGCCTCCGAAGCTACTCTCGGCAACCTCTCCTCTCCTATACCGCCCGGGCGATACTACCATGTCAGCTTCCTTGCGTCTATTCCCGACCGTAGGGTTCGGATCCCCAGTTCGGCCGCATTATTTGTGCGCTTGGAGCATCCTAGGATGAACTTCGCTACTTTCATTTGCGCCGCCTCGAGCTCTTTGACTACCTTCCTATTTCCTTCCCATACGTCGCCGGCGTACTCTAGCGGCGGTACAATCGCGCTCTTCAAAACTGTCATTTTGATGCGTGTATCGAGGTGCCGGTTTGCGAGTATTGGGCGCAGCATCCGCGCTGGTGCTTTTCCCTTTTCCGCTACCTTGGACATGTGTGCACGAGCAGTCTTTTGCGATCTCTACTCTGAGACATGTGTACTGGTCCACTACGGCAAGCTCCTCAACCCCCCACTTACTTTTCTCTACTGGTTTCTCCCTGTCGTCGATGCGCACCATGACGGCACTCTTCTTTACGGTGGCAGCAATATGCTTCGTTGAGTCAATCTGCAGTTGAAGCCCGTCAGGGGTCCAACAGAATCATCCGCAAGCAGCATTCCCGACACCCAAGTTTCCCCTACCTTTACTCCCTCCCCAACTGCCGCTACGACTTTCAACAGATCGTTGATCAACACCTGGAACAATGTTGGGGACAACGTATGACCTTGTGGGACCCCTGTTCAATGTTGAAGAATTTAGACAGTTCTCCGTCAAGCATGCCAGCGCTTTTCGTACAGTCTGTCATCTCCTTCAGCAGTCCCCATTTTTTCCCTTTATCCCGACTTGGGCAATTGTTTGCACAGCCCATTTCTCCATACCGTATCGCATGCCTTTTGCACATCAAAGAACAAGCAGTACGTCGGCTTCCCCGCCGTTTGTATACCTTGGATGATTCTCCCTGCCATAAATGCGTGGTGTACGCACCCTGTCTTTTTTCAGAAACCTGCCTGACCCTCACTTGTCCTACCTTCCTTCTCCAACCCTCCAACCCTCCAACCCTCCAACTATCATATCATTGAGCAGCTTACAGAACACTCCCTACTGTGTTCAACAGTGTGATCCCCCTGTTGCTTCCTGGTTCAGTCCTGTCTCCTATCTTGAACAAGCTCACAACCACTCCCTCCATGTACTTGGCGCATTCTCGTTATTCCATACCAAGTTGGACAGCAGTGCCATTAGGTGGATCATCCCCTTCCCCCCAAACTTCATGAATTCGTTAAATATCCCATGCACCCCTGCTGCTTTGTGGTACTGCAGCTTGTCCACACAATTCTCAACCTCGTCCACAGTGAACTCCTTCTCTAGCTCTACGTTCTCGACGTCTGCCTTCGACGTCTCTTCTTCCTTGCCCCATGGGTCCACCTTCTTCTCAAACACTTAGTTCAAAGCTTTATTCTCCGACGGCACCCCAAGTCTCTTGTAGTGTCCTGCTAGAACCTCCATTTTTCCCTTCCCACGGTCGACTAGACCACCGTTCACACCTCGCAATGTTGCTACCCCTGTATCCCCCCCCCGGCGCTGTCTTTTTTACCATTCCACTAACCCCTTGCCACATCTGCTTTTAATTCCCCTCCAGGCCTTCGTTGGGCTTCTGCCCTACTTCGTCCCAAATTCATTTTTTCTTTTTCACTGATCCCTTCACCTTTTTTCTTGTGACCCTGTACTTTTCCCAACTCCCTGCAGACCCCTCACTCAGATACTGCTTGAAGACTTATCTACGTTCCCCGGTTTTTTCTTCGTCTCCCAAACGCTCTACTTTCCAACGGAGCACTTTCCTCTGCTTCTTACTCGCCACCTTCCTCCTCCTGTCGCTTTTAGCCCATATGAGGAAGTGTTCTGTCGAACCTCTATCTATCGCACTTACATTCAACTCTGGATCTGTGCGCTCCCTCTATCTACCAGGATGTAGTCGAGAATCGGGTACTCCGCGAGAATTGCCCTTTGGCTGGTGAACTCCGGCTTAGCCCACATCATTCCACCGTGTAACGCCATCAACTCGATGCTTCCCAAGAATCCAAGCATTCTCACTCTGTTGTTATTTACATTGCCTTCTGCGTGCTATCCGATCGCCTGACTCCTACTGGAAGCTTTTCCTTTCTCTGGAGTTGAAATCGCCCACCATGGCAACTTCTCCCTTCCTTCTGAACCTCTGAGCATCTTCCCCAATTTGCCCAAAGTTCTCCTTCGCCTTGTTCCGACTTTCTTCGATGATGGTGGTACGTATTCGTTCCCTTGGAAGAATTCCTTCTCACCCCGCTCCCCAGGTACCTTAAGCCATAGACTTTCCGCGCACCCCGTTTTTTTCACCACTTGCATCACGTCAAACAAGTGATCCTTGATCAGGTTCGTGGGGGAGGGGGGGGATCCTGCCATGGCACATGCACAACGGTAGGTCCAACATTTCCCCGAAATGAAGGGACATATCTCTGGGTAGCGTTATTTTTCTGATTTTGATTAACATCTTTTTGTACACCCTGTTACCTACGCCAACATTGAACGATGGTGATGTTTTGGTACTTACATGCTTTTTCGTCTTCGATCAACAGAAATGTTTGATTTTTTTGGAAGTGCATATTCTTCATGGCACGACTTCCGCGGACTCGGACGGCTTTCGGGAGTGTATGCATTGTGCCTGTTATGACTCAGAAGCCATGGCCTACGACGCCTGTAGTTGACCTGAAAATCCAAACCGTTAATTGAACTGCAACATCTGTTTTTATCCCGAAGTGAGAACGTTTGACGTCTAGTCAGTTCCTCGTCTTTCCTTCTCCTCTTATTTTGCGGCGAAATGTGCCCGTGATTATATCCTGGATCCCAAAATGTGAAACAGACAAAATCCAATGTGAAACCGAGAGGGGTAAGAGGGCTCTCATGCGTGACGAGACACGTGAAAACACAAGTTGAGCAGGGCACGAGCCACAAAACATAGGTTAATTCATATGAGCCACCCGGATGCTGAGCAACCAAAAAGATTTTTACCGTTGGAGTCGTAACCAGTTTCGACGATACGTTTTCGACCAAGCCGTGGCGAAACGCGTGCTCCAACGCTGGAGAGGATCTCTCGCCCTGGCCCTCCGAGTCAATAACAACCCTTTTGGACGCAATATTCAAACCTCGCCCGCGCTGGCTCCTACTGGTTCGCCAAAACGCTGTTTGCAGGTGCTTTGAGGGTATCATTGCGAGTCAAGCCCTGAGCGTTTTCTCCACTCCGACCCTCTGCGCTAGCAATTGTGCCGGCTCACAAGGGGCGCAGTGCAAGGAGGACTATCTGCAGGCTGCTGATGAGCAACATCATACTAGCATCGTGCCAGCGGGTGTCATTCTCGAAAACGCCACCGGCACGATGATGGATGCCCCTTGCAGCAACGGAGACAAACCAATGTCATCTACTAGCTCGTGGGAACTGAACCAAAAGCCTGCACCACAAATGAGCCCACCTGTCGGACCGAGCTTGTCTACTTCACATGTCCACTGCTGTGAGCCGGACAGGGGTGCGGTCGAGGGGTGTGGCGGTGGAGGGGTTTCCGGCGTGGTGGCCCCAGTTCCCGAAATGTCCTTGAGATGGCCAGAGTTGAGACAGGTAGATGGTGTCTCAGAGGAGACAGGGGATGATACAATTGTCACTGCAGACTGGCTAGATGTTACTCATGCTATGTTGGGAGAAATAGACCAATGAATCCGGCGCTTTGAATCCGGCTCTGTAATGGTTACGGTTTGAGGTCAGGTTGTCTTTACTGAATCTGTGTGCGAAGATGCATTCCTACGCCCACAATTTCACTAAGCCCCGTTGGTGTAAGTGAGAGCGTACACATCAGGGCTTTTGTTTGTCGTCTGATGCTACAAGGGTAGCCGTCCCTGGCGATGGCTTTTTCCGAACCAGCCGTGTCATGCAGCTCTTTGCGAGAAGCGGTCAGTCCGACTTGGGACCAAAAGAGTGTGTGCAGGTTATTTCAGGAATGTGCAAACGTTGTTCTCATGAAAAGGTTCATCTGTGATAAAAGCACTTCATCATGGTTGTTTCTGAAGAATCTCAGGAATATGGAAAACGCCCGAACTAGAGATCATGCAGCACCTTTTGTGACGCAGCTGCAATGTCTAGGACAGAAAGCGCGCCGGCTTCCGAGTGTCGTAGATAGGAGCATTCCACGGCAATCGCGGCAATACACCCCGTCAATACTAAGTATATGCGCAGAGCGTTCGCTCACTCGGGGTTTGGAGCGGCTGGGGGCGCTACCGCACAAGCCAAATCGAGTTCTCCTCGTGGGCGACGAGGACAGACGGAGAGACCGACCATACTTTGGGCTGGCGGTGGTTCATAGGTGTCGGTTCCAAGCGTCCGCTTCCAGGTGGCCAGAGGAAGGTTGTGGATAGGTTGGGGCACCGACTACAATCTGGTGGGGGGCAGGTGTGCATGTTGTCCCGCACCTCGGATAGTGTTTTTTTTCCCAATCAACACGCAGTAGCGACCTTGCCGGTACGGTGCATGCGCCGACCCCATGGCGCGCTGCAAGCCCAATGAAAAAATCGGCTCCAGGTCGAAGTCGGCCCCCAAACTCCCTCCCCAGGTTGTATATAGTTGAGTGCATCCTATGCTGTAGGGCAAGCCGCTATGCTACGTGAGGTAAACGATATTCTTCGCGGGTCGATTCTGGTTTGTCGTGGCGTCGGTGGATCACCGGTTTAGCGGCGGGTGCAGTGATTCCATGTCGCTATCGGGGTGGGATGTAGTCTAGTCTACGTAGTACAGCAGTAGCTGCCGGCAGGCTCACTCACGAGCTTTGTGGAGCTTCCCCTTTCTCGGCAGGCACATGATGTTTGCGCTGGGGTCCAAGGCGAACCCCGAGACGATGCCGCCATCCGGGACGGGACGAAGCATGTCTGTGCATTGCAGCGTTCCCGCTAGGGCCACAGGCCCTTGGTGCGGAGGGGCCGCTGAATACGTTTTTTTTTTGACAATATTCGACGTATTTCTTGCAAACATACTTTCAAAAACAGCAACAAATTGTCAAATATCGTGTTGTTCACCTGTTTTGAGAAAAAATACTACCTCGTTCCCATCGAAAATGTGACGAATGTGGCATGTTTCTCGCCTTCGGCACAAAAACAAAGCCAGAAAAAGAAAAAAATCGCCGAAGGCGAAAAGGCATGCACAATATTTTTTCGCCTACGCCGAAAAATAGGGCGGCGGATTTCATTGAGGCGCAGATCTAAGGCATTTGCCTGACGGCCGATTCCCGAGATGCCTGATACAGTATTTGTCCTGGGCTGTTGTCTCAAACGAAACCTAGCTAATTTCAAGTTGTATCTTCTCAAGAATGGACACGGTTCATAAGGGGTTTATCATCGTGGCAATTCTCCGTGTGTTGCCTGGAGCTGCCTGGGGTTATGTAGAAGCAGTCAGGCCACAAAACACCGCCTAAGGCAAACACTTCATAGGAACGCCCTCTCAGGAAACAAGTCAGGCATGCCTGAGATGCCTGAGAGTGTAGAAGAAAAGGGGCCCGCAGGCGAAAGGTCAGGCATGCGTGATCGGTCAGGGCTTATGTCATGGGTATTTCTATGCGTACCCTCATGCCATGCCGGTAGTTGGTAGATTAGATATCCGCCGGCCTGCACCAAACACGCTGCACAGACATACTACTTCTTCCCGTTCCGGATGGTGCCATCGCCTCGGCGTTCGCCCTTGACCCCGTTGTAGATATTGTGTGCCAAGCCTACCGAGAATCAGCAGCTAGACTACGCATGTAATGCTGTATCACCTATATTGACCATCCCACCCCGATCACGGCATGGAAACCCTGAACCCGCCGCCAAACCGGCAATCCACCGACTCCACGACAAACGATAATCGACCCGCGAAGAAAACCGTTTCCGTTGACCAGCATGGCTCGCCCTACATACAGCAGTGTTTGGTGCAGGCCGGCGGGACATGGCGCTTGGCGCTCACCATCCACGACCACCGGTCTACCGGCAGCGGATGTATGAGCGTAGAGGAGCGTAGGCGTGGATCGTATTAGGAGAAACAAATATACACACAGAAAGACTACCCGTTCGAGGTATAACTACACTCGAAGGGGATGTGTTGAAGTCTTTACAGTGAGTAGAGGAAAACCAGCTGGGTACTTGACATATTTCGAGTTTGTTTAAGCCTATACACTGATGATTTATATCAGTGATACCAGTTGGTGCTTAGCACAAAAACATCTGCGTAGGTACATTTACATGTGGCCTGCACAGGGAACACGGCGCAATATGTCATGTTGACAGCAGTACATATACTAGTTAAAACTGGTGTAATGACGTGCCATTGGTCTGGTCTGGTGCCACGTTCATATGCGTGATTTGTCTTCCGACATCTAACCGCACACCCTAGGTTTTAACCCATCCAATATACAGCAAATGTATCTGTTGAAATGGTAGCATACATGACTGTATGTAGATACGTACCTAAAATGACAGTTGAATAGAGAGATT